CATTTTTTCAAGGACCCCATATATTTCCGTATTACCCCTCTAAGTGTACATAAAATAAATTTCTCCCGTCGAAGAAATTTTTTTTCATAAAGTTAATGTTCCCTGAGTTATGCAAAGCGTTCACTAACAATTGTTTACATTGTGACGTCGTTTAATGCTTATGTGACGTCAGTTATTAGGCTCGCTCTTGCAAATGAAATGTTCAAATGAAAACAACATATTGAATATGATATAGACAGTACGGCATGTAAAGAGGGTATATTGATTTGATATGTGGTCAGTAGGTCACGCGGAAGGGGCATATTAAGAATATATTTACACGCAGCTATGTTAAGGCTGTCCGAAGGCTTAATATGCATTAAAATATACATTTCATTTTAAGCTAGATTTTAATTTCAATTAGTAATCTATGTATGATTTTACAGTCAACTTGTGAGGAGAGTGTAATCAGGTATTATAATAATACATTTTTGTGATGTCACATGACGTTGTTGATCACGTGATGAGCACTTATAAATTCCTAAATGTTGTACAAAAATCGCATCGGCACAAGTGCAAAACAACATTATTAAGAAAAATTTGTCACATAAGTCAATTCATCTTGATCTTTGGTAAATATAAAGTGCTGGGGACTAGTCTGAATTTTACTTCTTGAGAAAATATTCCACGAGAAATTCAAGTTACCCACATACAAGGGGGCATTTTCCACTCTTTATCGCAATTTATACGAAATAGGATAAATTACATACAATCCCCCAGCAAAGTTCAGTTAGAGGATATACTTCTTTAGTAGATTCACACAAAATATCTTCAATTTATCCTTATTAATCACTTGTGCCAGTCAAATATATACACGATTTATAAATTCTAACTCTGTCCACGGACATGTAAGGGGAGCGTTTCTCAGTATTTTTTTTTTTTTTTTTTTTTTTTGTTATTGTTTGAATATATGTATATCGGACAAGTTAAAGGGATAACGATGTTCAACTTCATAACAGCACACTTATGCATAAAGAACAATCCATACACTTGAATCAAACAACAACGCTGAAATGTCTTTACATGTGAAAGGAATGAAAAAGTTATGACACTTTCCCCGTCATGTCAGCTCAAGAATGCAGTGACTTGACGTCAAATGCAATTATGACGTCATATCTAGGTAGTTCACAGAAGTTACTACAGTTGGAACAGTTTGATATTTTACGGAGAGCCTTATCCTAGCCGCGCATTTGCTATGTTTTCTACTAAGACGACTGTGAAATTGATTTAGATGCCATTTTCGTGTATACTCACGCGTAGAAATATGCACGGAGAAACTCGCACTAAAGTGACGTCACAATGAGCTACAGAGACGTTAATAAAAATATAACGATAAAGGGCAGCGAATAATTCAAACACTGAGTATATTTTTGGTGCTTTTGAACATGTTAAATGTAAATATAAGGAATGTTTTTTAGTTTAATGTGAATTATTGGTGTGTAAATCACACAGACTTGCACTTAGGCATATTTATCATAAAGCGCTAGCGCGCTTCATGAAATTTGCTTACGTAACAAGTTTGTGTGATTTACACACCAATATCTCACACAAAACTTAAAAATATTTCTTAAATAATGTCGGTAGGCAGTATTCTTCTCGACCAATGAAAGAACAAGGTACGATTTAAATACAAATATGTCCCTAATTTTTTCCAAAATATGAAATTGATGTAAGGTTTTAAAAATCATGCTTTCTGAGTCGTTCACATCCAATAGTAATACAGTAAGTACACATAAATCGCTTTTCTCATATGACCGCCTAAATGCTAATTGTGACGTCATTAACTTAAAAAGTTGCAGAAGATATCAATTTTCAATGGAATTTTCTCTCAAATATAGAACACATGCTTCACCCACAAAGATTTAAAAAAAAAATCTATTTTTCAAAATATTTTACACAACATATCCAAAAATAGAAGTGGGCGAGGCTTTTCATGTCAAGAACTAAGAAATGTACCAATTTAATGGCATCATATTACCAGAATAGTCCTTCTTTATGCCGTATTCTTTCATGATTTATCACATTCATAAAATTAACTCATATAAAAGCCAATTATATATCTTTTTGAAATCAATAATTTTTAAGGACACAATAAAGACGAAAAAAGTACCTTCTTCTTTCAAGACTTTTAACAGAGGCAGGATAAATTTTAATAGTTTTCAACAATAAATCCTTCCACTTTCTGCTCTTCCCAGCCCGATATGCCGATGATGTGGCATCCATTGATCTTTTACACTTTTCAAGCTATAACCATTTGTATTTCAGATTATTTTACCCCGTTTTACCTAACCTTTTTAATGGCACACCATAATTATAAAGTTTCATAGTTTCACAATGGTGAAAATATATATAAAAAATCCTGTCCAACTCGTGAAATACAGTGCTGCTATCCTATAAGTTGACAATCCTATCCTATCCTATCGTGAATCCCGCATCCACAATCCTATCCTGTGATTTCAGTCTAATCCTATCCTATCCTATCCTGCTACTTTCAGTTTTTTAATATTTAGGAATTAATTTGACAAAACGAAAAAAAAAAAAAATAAAATGAGCATCATATAAAAATCAGTTATAATAATGTATTTTATTTATGTTTTAATGCAGAAAAAATAATCGAGATCGACATCCATTAATTTCTGACACCCCGCACGAATTAATTTTCGAGTACCCAGTTAAAATATAAACAAAAGGATTGCAATAAAACATAGGCAAGTACTGATCCAGCGAACATGTAAAGAAAGTATAAGCTTTCAGAAAAATTAAAGATAAAAATTATAATCAGATTTTATTTGTTTTAATTTCACATACTAACAATGATCAAGAGACGTCGCGGTATTTGTGATTTCTTTTCAAATCTATACACTACAATAAATAAATGGGATTAAAATTAGAGAGGGAAAAGGGGAAAAAAACAACAACAAAGATTTCAAATACTTTTCTAATGTTACGAATAAGTAGACTTAATGAACAAAATTTAACGCTTTTAATTATAAGAATCAGACTATAAATGTCAAAACCTTCATGCGGGGAAGGTACACTGTATAATAACCGCACCCGTTGAAAATACAATTTCTCTACACATACTAAATAAATAAATGAAAAAAAGTAGGCTATGTTTGATGTTTTAACAGTTATACGTTTCGTGTAAAATTTATGTAAAACTTTTTTCCCCTAAACTGAGAACCATGAAAAATAATATATAGATCTAACTGCACCTGTATTAGATATTCATACTGATGTAAATCTAAAGAAGAAAACATGACAAGACCATAAACCAAGAACAGGCATCTATAATATCTTGACTTTTATTTATTAAATGTGTTAAAATTAATTTTAAATGTATGATAAAATTTTTTTTATATACACATGTACATTTTTTAAAGTTATTCTTGTTTGAGATGTTCAGTTCATCATTGTTTGAATGTGAATATCTTACAAACATGTAAAAAAAAATTTAATATCATGTTTGCTGAATAAAAATCAAGATATTCAAAATGTTAAAATTTCTTATTTCACTTCAGTTTGTTCTCAGTTTATGGTCAGTTCAGTGTCATGCGAGTGTATTTCTATTACCATATTTTTATGAGTGAGAATTTAATCAATTTACATTTAACAGAAAACATTTTCATAAGTCTTCATAGTCAGATAGATTGACAGCAATAATTATTGCAGTGAACACACACATATTCCTTAGATCTTATAACATATGTACATGAATTCACAGTAGTTACAGTATTTATAACCCATATGTAAGTAAATCTTGCTTTTGACCTTGATATTTGATCTTGAGTGTTAATCAGGGTCTAAATGAGGAACATAAATGCTTGACCAAGTTTACAATATTTATTCACGGTAATTGCTTCTTCAAAGTATAAAATATATATATATGGTGCCAAATAAATTTCATCTACAGTTTTATTTTTTACCTACAATGAATAAGAATTGAATGTTCCATTATGAGACAAATTCATCAAAAGTATACATGTATTTCAATGCCATTCTCACAGATACATGTACGTGTTGTTTGTTTAAATTCAAGTTTATCAATGTCTTATTACAACTGAATGATGTTTTACATGCATATGATTTGACCAGCCTGTCTTTCGCTCAAATTGAATTTCAGATATCAAAGTTGTTGTCAAATAGCTGGCCATAAGTAACCGAACAGTTTCACAAATGTCAACAATGCACAGAAAACAAATACTTCACACACTGAACTCCTCAATAAAAAACGCCATGATTTCAGACTCTAGGGGACTCTTGGACAGTGGTTAGAACATCTTTCATATTTATTCCAGCAGCAAATGAGATGAACTGCAATGTGTACAGCAGCAATTATGCAGGATTGTCCTGAAAAAAAAACAACAACACACCATTATTTCAATATATGCATGTAGATTGTACAATTTTGTCATGTATTATACATAAAAACTGTATTTTATTGTGATTATCTTTCTCATTTCATGTACAATTGGCTGAATTTCACCTTTTTCTCTCCCAGAGTAATGCATTAAATTTTAAAGAAATCAAACAAATTTACTGGAACTTCATAATCATATCTTAATTAAACAATCATAATTTACTTGAAGATTGTAATTCATTTCATCCCGTCAACTTGTAAACTAGTATGAGTACATTTGTTTGAGTTTTTTCTCTATTTTCTGCTTGTATTAATCTATTTATGCTTTTTCTTTGTTTTCTTTTTTGCTTGAAATTTGAATATGAAAAAATGAAAGTATATATATATATATATATATATATAAAAACAAAACAAACATATAACATGACCATGATGACCAGAACAATAACACATTATTTTCAGTTTTACTCTCAACTTTTTAAAAAGAAAATCACTTATTCAGAGAATCTGCAGAAACTTCATCTCAACTCAGATAATGATTTGTATGTTTTTTACTGATATTCATGCATAAACACATGATAAATAATCTAATCAGACCTACTTTTAAATGTAAAATCCCTTATATTGTGATGAGGGCAGGCAAAATCAAGTACCATTCTCTGCAATGAAGAATAATAAATGGTCAATTTATATTTCATAGCCCAGAATAGGTTATACATACAATGTACATTGTAAGTGCTGAGTTGGCTTATTATACAATTTAAACAGCAGCATAAGAAATGATTCTGCATTTATTTATTATAATTGCACTCAAATAAAAATATAGCAATAACAAACTGAAAAAGGCCTAACACATCTTATTGTTTTAAAACACATTGAATCATGACAAAAGTATTTATAAATTTGTAACCCCCTCCCCTTCCTACACTACCTCTTCTTTCTACACCCGATTTTTGTCTATATTATAAAAGAGAAAACTTTTGATAGCTGAGGTCGTTATAACATTGTTTCAAGGGGAATATGTATAATCATGCATACATGTACAGTGGGTAGTATACTCACAAGTTCTTGCACCAAACAACTGCGATATCGATCATGTCGATCTGTTCAAGTCCGCCGTTGACGGTTCGTGTAGAATTATGCAGACAAACAGAGCACATTTAACACAGAAACATCTCATTGAACTATAAAACAAGTAGGAATCCAAACATGCTGAAGAAAATAAAGCCCATTGGTGAAATTGGTGTCCGAACTCTTCGTTGTTTACATGCGAAGATTGCTCCGGTGATCGTTCACGGTTAAATCGTACGCCAAGTTACTCGAAGTTAATAATTAATGTGTGTTAAGGGAAAAAAAATACGTTTATTTTCTATTGTAATTATAAATATTTCTTCTGTAAACGTTTTAAATCTTATTCCGTTTTTGTAATTAATTATGAAATATGAATCAACCTTTACTCGAATCTGATTGGCTGTAGGATACAGGATAGGATGGGATAGGATAGGATTGGATTAACTACTATATGTTTCTATCGTGAATCCTCAATCCTGAATCCTATCAAAACCCATCCCATGTCAACTTGTGGGATAGCAGCACTGTAAATGCCATATCCAACTACGAAACATTGAATATCTATCTACATCTTCAAAAACATATCAGGTAAAAATAACAGTTTAATAAAGACATAACGGACATGAGATTAGCTGTTTATTTTTGCATAGATATGAAGTATATTTAATGAATGATGACACTTTCCAGTGTTGTATTTTATTTCAAGCTTGCAGATATGCCGCCGCAAATATGACGGGTTGTGACGATACATACTGCCGTTCTATACATATTGTCGCCGGCGAAAAAACATACCTACCCTCACTGCACATATTGTCACCAGCGACAATATGTGCCGAGACGAACCTTTTTTTTCCTCCTGCAGAATTGATAACTGATTACAGTCACGTCAGCACATCGATGACAATATTTTCTGTGAAAATTTGTACATCGTGTTGCCAATATATTTTTTCCATTAATTTTTACTCGGGTCTTAAGAGAAAGAGACTCGGTCTTCAAGAGTGAGAGACGCCAAAAAAGATAGAGAGGGGGGATAAACAAAGTTTGTGGCAGACAGGTAGGTAAATAAGCAATAATGTAGAAGACGTTTAAATTTTGGTCAAAAAATTGCATCCAGGGTATTGTACATTTGTATGATATCCAAGATAGCGGAATTCTGAAAATTCAGCGTACTCTTTTTCTCGTTATATATACATGCAAGTTGAGAATAAATGCTAATTTTGAGAATAGTAATAAAAATTATTGATTGAATGTAGCGATGCATTACATGTATAGGGGTTGGGGTCCACACTTTTTAAGTCTTATTGAAAAAATGTCATGCATATTCTTAATTTAGTGCTTTTTCAATCATATCGTGTAATTCTTTAAAATTTTTAGTGCACTTTTTTTAAACAGAAAGAGGGAGTTTGGTTAAGTTTGGAGAGATAGAGAGAGAGGTTTCTGTTCTTTTATTTATGAACTGATTTAAAGAACACGGTTCTTACGGTAGTTGCTCTATTTTTCACAGTATTGCTTGCGCACGTGTTTATTAAATATAGCATTCATTGCAGTTGTTTCAATGGAGTTAAAAAATGGCAAATAAGTGATCTCATGAGATCATCATTATTATCGTTATCATCATCCATATTACTAAAATCCTAACTGTGAAGCGGCAATATGTGCAGTGAGAGTAGGCTCATATTATCGCCAGCAATATGTACCGATGGAACACAATATGTGCATTGAGGGTAGGTACACTTGTCGCCGCCGACAATATATACAGGACGACATTATGTACTTGGATATTATATAATATAATAACTGGACAGCATGAAAAAGCATATGATACTTTTTTTTTTTTTTTTTTTTTTTTTTTTTGTGATTTACAAATCAATTACATTAAAAAACTACAAAAATAATCCTTAAGCAAACTGTTACTGTGGGGCGACAATATGAACATAACGGTAGGCACATTTTGTTGCTAGGACAATGTGTTCATACATAATTTTTTAGCCAGAGACAGTATTGGTCAATGGACGACAATATGTGCATTGAGAATAGTTGCTTATTGCAGTTGGCGCAGACGAAAATATGCACAAAACGAAAATATGCACCGTCACAGGGGTATACACTTCTATCTAAACGCGTAAGAAACAGAGAAAACAAATTCATACCAAATACATTTATTTGCAAAATACTGTGAAATGAAGACAAATTTCTCAAAAGTGAATAAAACTGAATGATGCAAAGGTAGGTTTAAAATAAATAATATATATCACAGGCAAAAGTGGTTAACATAAATATTATATGAAATTCGCATGAATTTCATGTGAATTCTTTGCATGGGAAAGAGACGAAAAACAAGATATGTGAAATTTATGTAGAAACTTCAGGCCATTTTGACATACTTTTCTTTAGAATTTTACATGTAGAGCAAATCGAATAAATATCGTGCAAAGAAAACTTCACATGAAAGTTTTAAAAAAAATTATGTGAATATCATGCATACTTATTCACATGATATTCGCATGAAAAAATATCTATATAATTTTTACATGATTTTCACATAATTTTCAAATAAAAAGATAATCACATGAATATCATGTAAGCCACTTTTCCCTGTGATATACATGTAACTACCTTTTCTTTATTTCAACATGTTATTTAAAACATGGTATGGAATCATTTTATAATATTTTTTTAGTTGAATCTTTTTATGTTACCGTGAGCATTCTGTACATTTCGTCAAAATATTTTTTAATACAAGATATAGAATACGATGATTTGTTTGAACTGTGAATTTCGTGTGTAAATACGTTTTCCAGTTGGCAAATTCACGAACCTTTTCTATGTGGATGTCCCTTTATAAAGTGTCAAATGCCACATTTCATGGATAACAATACTGTAAAAAGTTATATATCATAGTGCAGAAGAATAATCGCAATCAGGAAATACAAATATACCTTTCCAATATGATAAAATAATCTAGTCATCAAATGTACAATACAAACTGTAAAACATGTGCTAATCTACAGGGAGAAATTTGTACATATATCTGTAAAACTATATAAAAATAATGTAAATGTAAGATAATAAAAAAACTATAAAACAACACGTTCTTGAAAACGTTCATACATATACATGACGTTTATTGGTCACAATTAGAGACAGTTGAAATTTAGCTCTTCAAATATAGATGTTTAAACAAAGTCAAATATAACAAATATTTGAGAGCATTGGAAATGCCAGTACTGGTGTTTTAGTGCAATATTCAAGTTAATACTTAAATATTCATATTTACTTCTTGTCCGTTAAATAGTTGAAGCTTCAATGAATATATCTTCTTATTTGAATTATTTTAGATTTGAGTTCTTAAAGCATTACTTGTTTCTCTTCAAACATGTAAATCGGGTGTCAATACTTCATATGTATTACAATAGTACATGTAAAAGCACTTGTTATACCGGTATTGAAGTGACTGTGTTTATAGCTAACGTTGCAGGCACTAATCACTCAAATAATTAGAAAAAAAAATGTGAATATAAGAGAGTTTTTACTTTTACAAATAGTCTAAAACTTCAGCAAAGGTGAAGAAAGCCCATGAAAAAATTGCATTATTTTCATGTATAAAGTTATTAGTAGTTTCATGTTTGGATTATCAAATATATACCAAAATATAGCCAGAGTTTGGAGTTTTGATGTACAATTGTTCCACTGCTGCTAGCAACTTCAGATCCTGAAATTCTATGCAAACAAGAAAATAATATTGAAAAAAAAAGAAAAATAAGAATGTTTATTTTGTCATGATATGTCAAATATGACACATGTATTATTTGTAAAATACAGGATGTATCTGATTCAAATATTCTGGTTATTTGTAATCTGAAGAAATCATTTAATTGCGAAGCAATCATCTAATTGTGAAGGAAATTTACAGCAACAGTTAATATATTTTTTTCATATATATTTTAATCTCTAGCAAGAGAAAAAGGTATATCATTACCGGTTTACGACACTTTTGTTACTGTATTTTGTTACTGTCGTGTAGCATTCGGCATCTAAAACACATAAGCACATAATATATCAAAGATTCTATCTGTTTATTGTCAAAATTTATGACAATAGAGATGCAGATTTAAGGAGATGAAATAACAGTTATCCCAAGTAAGTTAAATTGGAACAATAGAATTCTACAGCTAAATCCACCAAATACATAGTAAATTAATTTACAGGAACATAGCTATGGTGTCAGGGATTATTCTGTTATAATTTAAGGAAATTGTATATTCCTCAACCGGTTTTTTCTCAATATTGAAATATCAATTTTACTGAGGATATCAAAAACAACAAAGCACACTTGAAATAACATTTAAAAAAAAAAAAAAAAAAAAAAAGCATGCTTCAAACGTATTTGTGTAAATATTGGTAAAAATGTGATGACCCCTGCCCCACTCCCCCCACAAGATACTGCATACAACAGTGACATTTTATTTTACTGTTAGAGCGAAATTCTGTGGGGCAGACCCAACCCTATGAGTTGTATTTTTGTTACATTAAAGTTTTAGAATTCATATGTTACATTAAAGTTTTAGAATTCATAGAATTTAAAACTTCATTTGGCTTACACTTCATTTTTAAATATCTGAAATGTTTTATTAATTTCAAATTGCTTGTTTCATTTAATGTTCAAATAATGTTTAAAATTATATAATTACATTACTAGCAATCATTTCTTTGTTGAATTACTCACGAAATAGTGTTTTTGGAATTTTTCTATTTGTATAAATTTTTGGCAATTTAATTTTACCGCTTATGAATTATGTTCCCTGTTCGGAACTCTCTAGTCAGAGAAGGTAAATAAATTTTCCCGAAGTTTTGTAAACATTGTCTTTGGAGTTAAATGTTTGTAAGTTTTCTGATTTTATTGTCTACTTTTGATTTTTAACTTTTGTAACTTTAAAAACTGTTGTAAGCGCTTTGCATGACTGATTTCACGTAACTGATCGATCTTTATTTGTTGTTTTAGTAATCATACCTACTCTTAGCGGGTTTCGCTACAGGTTGTTTCAAAAGTTATTTACTTATCTGACATTGTTTATTCGATAATTACTTGTACTGTTTATTATAA